AATACGTCAATTGGGGTCTAGATTTTTAAAAAATCTGTATTTCCTACTGTATTCAAGGAATTTGTACAACCCCACTGGCTCCCTGATGCCTGGAAATGCTCTTTTGCCATATTCTATGCCAGCCCTGTGCACATTTCAAGCTGTTGCATTACACTGGCCAAGCAGACCCTCTTCTTCATTTGCAGTACCAATTTATAATGCAAAATATGCACACCAAAAACAGTGATTCATTACAATTTTTGGCCCCTAAAAGAAGTCACAATCCTCGCCCGATGCCCTCAATGGGATCTATTTTTTTCCTAAATTAGGGGTTGCGGAATATGCCCTGAATGTCACAGGCACGTCGATGTTCAGGAGATAGAATTGTCAGAGAGAAAGGAAAGAAGATCCCGCAGTTGGAGCAAGGCCCCTCGGCTTCTCTCCTGGTAATGAATATTGTGGTGCCCTCTAGTGGTAGCAGGAGATCGACGGGGAGAGCCGCCGTGGACAGCGTGTAGCAGTGCTCGTTCATTCTCCAAGCTGAGCCACACACTGTGGTTTTCCAAACGTGACTCAGGGAACATTTCACCAAAAGGGTGCATGCACGCGTGACTTAGTCCCTTCTCCCTTTCCAGCGCAGACGATACCTGGAAGAGAATGTCTGCTTGTCTTAATTGGCAGAACACCTCGACATGAATAGAAATGCGATGTGTAATGCTAAAAAGGACCTCGCTGTAGGGGTCACTTTATTTTTCACAGGCATGGAGTTCATGGTGAGCTTCCTACAGTGACAGCAAGAAGACATTTACTGCAAAACCCTTCGGGTCCCACAATGTGCTTGTGTGAAAACAAAAATGATCACAAATACAAATTATATATTAGATAAATATTCCATTTAGATGTTTTTGTAGCTGCTTCTTATGTTGTTATCATGACTGTAGCTTTCCTCCTTCACTAGTACTACATCTCACCCCCAGCTTTGGAACTATTCATTCATGTATAGCACCCCAAAAGCTTCCCTTTGGCACCTGTTCTTCTACAATCTCGTCACTACTCACCCTTTATTCTTGTAATTTGCATCTCAGAACATTTTAAACTTCTGTCAAAATCAGTTGTGCCCCAGTCATCCGGGTCACTTCCAAGTCTGCCTCTTATGTAACAAGCCTCTGGAACTCTCTGGTGGTAAGCGTAGTCCTGAACATCCTGACTGACCATTTGAGAAATTCATCGAAGTGCTGGGTTATAGTCACAAGTTCCCAGTTCAGTGCCAAAAAAGGACAGAAGAGGATTTGGTGCCGGGGGTGGTGATGCCTGCCTGCAATCGTAGCACTCAGGGAGCTCCTTCAGGAGGATCGTCCCCAGTTCCAGGCTAGCCTGGACTGCATAATGAGTTTAAGGCCTGCCTGAACAAGCAATACCGTTCTGAAAACACCACCACCAACAACAACAGCAGCAGCAACAACAACAAAGAATCTAGACCTCTGTAGAATTGTTGTTTCCTGGGGAACTAAGTGCCTCACCAAGAAAAGCTAATTTCACCCTTCCTCCCTTCCTTCCTTCTCATATAGGGACTAGAATGATCTCACTTGAACTGTATTAAGGAGGCAGGCAAAATTCACAGATACCTCAGTGCCCAAATTTAGGTACAAATTAAAGTAAGTGTCTATGTGTGTACACACATGATTAAAGGTAGAAGGGGAAAAGCCCGCCTACACTCCAGTACACAATCCCGTTTGGCAGTGTGGAGAAATGGAGAGCATACTCTTTTACAAGCTCAGCCCAGGGCCTGAAGGAAGTAATGAAACGTCTTTAGTCCACGGTAATTTTATTATATCAGAAAGAACCATCATGCACAGAAGAAAAGGAGACAGATGAGAAGTGCTTGGCAGAGATAATAGTGCACTGTTCTTTAAGGTGCTTTATTGAAACACAACCTGTTAGTGGAGGTATCATGATAAAATATCGAAATTCATTCTGTCACTAATTGAACAAATATTTAATTGAGCACCTATTATGCCCAAGGCATCCTTCTAGGAGCAAGAGAGGCACTTTGTGTTTTACCAACAAAGCACACAACCCTTCACTTTCATGAAATTTATATTCCAGTGAGAGAGAATGGCAGTGAATAAATGAATGAATGTGCAATATATGAACAGGTGAAATCAGTGTGGTCAAAAAATAACAAAGTAGGGCAAAGGATAATGGAGGATATAATTTTAAGTAATATCACCAGGTAAAGTCTCCGTACAGGTGTCTTCTGAATCAAGACCCAAATAAAGACAGAGAGATGGGTGAAAATACAAGAAAAGCAAACAGATCAGCAAAGATGCAGAGGTGGAATTCATGGGTGAGGGTAATAAGTAAGTCCCTGCGTGTGGAGTGAAAAGGAAAGAGGAAGGTGCAAGAGATGCCACGCGGAGACATGACTAGGGCTCGTGTACTGTGATGCCCTGAATGCCACCAAAAGATTTCTTTCTAATGTTTACAGTAGCTTCACAATAAGAGATGTTGCAAAAATAATGGTTTTCTTATGCAAAGTTTTCCCTCCTCTTATTTTCTATGAATGTGGTATACTTTTCATAACTCATGAACCAACGCCAAGACATGACAGCCAAGCAAAGTCCCAGCTTTATTCAGATGTTTCAAGTTTTTCCAGTAACAATCCTTTTCTGTTCCAGGAACTTCTTTGAGAAGCCACACTTCATGTGGCCATTGTATCTCCTTGGATTCCTCTTGACTGGGACAGTTTCCCTGTGACTTTTCCTTGCTAGATTATATAAAAGCCTTTTCTTTCAGAAGTCCTAGTCAGATACTGTGCAGAGTACCTCTCCAGTGGGTTTGTTTCATTCACACTGGGTTTATCTTGGAGGAAGGCCATAGATTTAATGTACCTTTATTATTGGATCTTATCAAGGATAAACGTTATTAACACGACTGATCCCTTAATGGTATTCCTCTCAAACACATGACTGGGTTAGGGTCTGTCAAATATCCACACAGCTCGTTCCCCCTCCTTGCATATTATATGAGCTATCAGCATTCCACATGTAAGGGTGCAGAGTTACTTTTCTCTTCTCAAAGAGGGAACATCTACACACCCTATTTGCAATTCTGCACCAAAGACTTGTCTATTCAGTGGTTGGCTCCAGTATGTATTTATATCAGAAGGGGCTCATGGATGTTGATTTTATTATCTGGGTTATATCCAGAGCTCTATCACTTATTCTGATGCTCACTTTCTTTCAGGTTTAGCCTCCAGGAACATTTTCACTCAACACTTGTATCCTTTGGGCACATTCCCATCGTCTTATTTATTGAGCCATAGAGAGACATCTTAACCATAGTGGGAGCCACCAAAGAGCTTCATGCAGTGGATGATAGAATCCCATTTGCATTTTATAAGGATTCCTATGGCTGCAGTGTGGAGAATAGAGTATCAGACAGCAGGAGCAGAAGCTAGGAGCTTGTAAGACCTTACTCCAATGGGGAGAGAGCTCTTACTCCAATGGTGGCTTCTCATAAAGAGGGACAATAGAGAGAAGCAGAAGAAGGATTTGGGATATAATTTGATGGATCAGATGTGGAATATAAGGGAACAAAACTTCAAATGTGATTGCACTCCAAGTTTTTGGTCTTAAGTGATCGAATAACTGGTGATAATGTTGACTTATTTGGTGAACACGGAAGAAGGAGCAGTTTGGGAACACAAAATAATGCATAGAATAAATATCGCATAGCCATACCAAGTAAAACTCAACTTAAAAGATCAATTGCCTTGCAAACCTTGTTTTGACTGCTTCTGCAGGGGAATCAGCACCGTGATTCAAACACAGGCTACTGGGCCAAGAGGAGCAGATGGTAGCTGTTCCTTGGGCTTAGGCTTGCAGGGGAGGAATGGTTTTCATGTATTTTCCTAAGCATTTTCAGGCTCCTGGCTTATAAATATTTCCTTAGAGTGTATCTTTGTGGGCGATTTGTCTGTGTATATTCGTCTCTTCTCATCGTGGGTCACACTAGCTATTGGAAACCAACTTACTCTGAAAGACAAATCAAGGAAGGCCCCCAAATACAAAATTGCTCATTCAGATGCTGAAAATAAGACTGGGCTTGGGAAACTTGGGATGAAAATACTACATAAGTTGCCAAAAGAGTTCATGAGCAATTCAGCCAACAGCTTATTGTATACTAAGTCTGGTATGTGAAATTAGGGAACATCCCAGAAGGGACACACAGTTTGTGTCCGTGTGTTGGGGGATCCCTACTGCTTGGTCCACTAAGCAGCCAGTCCATGGAACCTAGCTTACACCAGAAGTCACACACACTTCTGTCTTCCAGTGTTTGAAGACACTGCTCTTTTTGTCTGGAAGACACCTCCTTCTCTTCTCTACTTCATTGATCCAAGCCTGTTTGAAAGTCACATTCTGTCTGAAATCTCCCATTTTCTCTACATTCCTCACCCCCCGCCAAAGCTGGCTTGGCTGGCTTATACAAAAAGAATATTTTCCAAACTTCATTTTCTTATTTCCCTCTTCAGTATAGGCTAGTGTACCATTATTAACTATGGAATTTCAATGTATACACTCTCAGGGCCAGGGATTTAGCTCAGTGGTGCCGCTGCTTGCCTCACCATCGCAAGGTCCTGAGTTCGATCCCCGGTACAAAAAAAAGAAAATGTATACACCTTGTTTTTAATTGATTGAAGTTCTCCTCACAGAATTGTGATTACTAGTTAGTAGGCTGGTTGAAATAGTCTCCATTCTCCCTCTGTCCATACCTTCGCTATAGAATGTTGTGGTGTCTCCACTGAACGTGGTGGGAAATCCCTGCCCTTGGGTCTGGCCCTGTGACTTAGTGCGACGTCAGTAGACATAGTGCCAATGGAGGATGACAAAGCAGGACTGAGGTGCATGGCTGAAGTCCCTAGGATCCCAAGTGTATGGGTACATTGTTCTTGCTTTAGTCTCTTGTTCCAGAGGCTTGAAAAGGCTATTGGATCTCACTTGCATTTTTTTTCCCCTAAGAAAATTAGAAGACCACACCAGTTCATCCCAGGAGAAATATAAAAGACATCTGGAGCAGAGATGCCACCAAAGGTCCTGAGCTCATTAAGCTCAGCCAACAGAAGCACCTTCAGCCAAGCAGCACAGTAACCCAGTCAAGATGAACCAACAAACGCTCAACCCTCAGCAGCCACAATGAGGTTTGAATGGTTGGGAGTGAAAAGTCAACATTAGTCACTGAGTTTTGTGGCAGTTATTAAATTTTACATATTTAAAATTTGGTCACTTGAACTCATCCAAGGGAAAGAGTATTTTAAATCCTTTGCTCAACCAAAGCCTGGTTCTCAGATGATTCAAACAAACAAACAAACGACAAAAGTTAACTAATGACTGATGCTGTTATATCGTCATGATTGTCACCAAAGCCAAACAAATTTCCACATTAGGGTATTTATAAATACACACACACACACACACACACACACACACACACACACACACACCACATATGTTTTTTGGTGTTTTTGTACTGGGGGTCAAACTCAGGACTTTGTACTTGGCAAGGCAGGCAGTGTCACCACTAAGCTAATGCTTAGCTAGGAAATATTTTCCACCTTAAACAGATTTCTCTTTTCTTCCGCTTTCTGTTACAGGACTATCTTATCACAGGCATTTCCTATGATGGAATTACTATTTAAACTATTACAACTCAACTCTTGTCATTACCTCATCAGCAGTTTTTAACCTGGAATAAACATTTTTTATTCAAATATTTTTTACAAGGGTGTTTGTCATCAAGACTGCCGTGAATAACATAACAGCTTCTGTTTTCTGAGACTCCCTTATGTATTATCATTATTGTCACTTAACACTAATAAAAAGTGCATGAGGCAGGTATAACTTCATTTGCTAAAGAAAAATTCTAAGACTCAAAGAAGCTAATTTTATATGGATATGAAGCAAAACAAAACAAAAACAAAATACTACTCCAGTCTAGATCTGTTTCCTTCTTTGTACCAGTAAGTTGAATCTTTGATGCCACTTGCACAATTTGTATATTTCCTCTTCCTCATCTCAGCAAACATTTCTATATTTCTGGGCTCTTTCATCATAAGCATACTTTTCTAATAGTGGGCAAAACTTCAATTGTACATGTCACTATGGCCTTGTTATGGCTTAGATTTAGACTGTCCCTCAAAAGACCCATGGGTTCAAAGGTGAGGCTATGACCAGGTGCTTGGATCTGTGTCACTAGTGAAGGAGCCCAAGGGAGACCCTGCTGTTAAGGTATTGTCCGGTCGGAAGAGGTTGGTCACTGAAGATCCAACCGGAAGGGTCCCTGTCCATCCCCGGCTCCTCCCTTCACTCTCTGTTTCCTGGAGGCCATGAGAGAAGCAACTCTCTGCCACCAGACCACTTCTCCATGCTCTTGAGCCAGCTAACTGTGGACTAAATCCTTGAAAAGCAGTGAGGCAGAATAAACCTCTCTTGCTTTGAACTGTGGGTCTTGGGTGTTTTACCAATCATAAAAAAGTGACTAAGACACACCTCATATTATTTCATCAGTATTACTATTCACATTCACATTGCTATGTCCTTATCAGCTGACAGAAACCTCTCAATGGCTTCCATTATTTTTATGTTAATGTTGCCTATAGTTTCTTTGCTTTTACAAGTAATATAAAAGTAAAGGTAATTGTATATACTGTCTTTCACCCTTTTGAAATATTTCCTTTTGATAAATTACAAAGCATGTGATTATTCAGATGAATTATATAAAATGTTTTGTGATTCTGAAACATATTGTCAAATTCTTACTATAGTCTCCAATGCTAGAATTCAAACCCAGGGCCTCATGCATGCTGGGCAAACCCTGTCCCACTGACCTGCATCTCCAGGCCCCAAATTATTTTTTTGACACATAACATCAAATTATTTTGAGACTACTGGTGAATGTACAGATATTTCCACATCTGCAGCATCAAACAATTAATTGTTAAATTAGTGGCTGTAAGGGACATTAGTGTTTCTCAATTTGCATTTCTACTGTGTTGATTAACACTACACAATCTTGTCTAAGGTTTCTGCCTCTGAAAGTTTTATATTGTTGTTGTTAATCCATTTATCATTTTCATCTTTTCTTCATTCATTTGTATTTTTCCAATAATTTTCTTTAATTTTAATTTGTATAAATGATTTCATAGTATATATTGCTAAATTTAAGATTTATTTTATGTTTATTTATACAGAACACAGTACTGTGATTACTTTTAGGCAATAGCATTTTTCAAACAAAGTATTTGTATAGTTTACAAACATGATATAGTTTCTCTGGTATGATAGACTAAAAATGTAAATAAGGAACAAAATGTATAATTGATATTTTGTAATAGGAAGAAAAGGTCTAAAGGTATAGGGGAAGTGGGAGCGGTAGGAGAAAGGTAAGAAGGGAAAAGAAAAAATAAGAAAAAAGGAAAAAATGGAAACAATGTCTTTGAAAATAGGGAAGGGTAGAGAGGTGAAGGGAAGCCAGGGACATGGGGAAAAAATAAGAACCAAGGTAAGTCAAAATCTCAATGATGAATGTATCTGCATTGTATACCTAAAATGTACCAACTAAGAAAAAAAACATGATTTGTTAAGAAGTCATATGTTCTAAAAATATCACTAGATCTTCTTCTGACTTATTTTTTCAAGTTAACTCATTAATTACAATGATATTAGTTCAACTTTACAAACATTCCTTCAAGTTAATACAATTATAAATAGATGTATTTGAAAGGTATGTTTTTACTATAAAGAAATAACAAATGTTTGAGCCCAGTAGAAATATTTAACCTAATTTAAATATCACACAATATCTGCATGTATTAAAATATCACATTTTAATCCATTAATATGCATACATTTTATGTTCCAGTTTATTTTTTAAATAAATTTAATATTACAAAAAGCTATTCATCCACTGGGTTGACTAAACAGTACTTATAAGCTTTGTAATATTTTTAGACCAATACTAATTTGTACCTTGTTTTTTTAAAAACTGTGATTCCTTTTATTTTACTCCCAAGCTAGACTTCTGTACCAATAATCTCTTTATTGATGCTATATGACAGCTTTAATGGTGTGACAGCACCAATTACCTACCTCATAACTTAAAATAACACCCAACCTTTTTGAAACCCTTGGATTTAAATATTAATTAAGCAATTAGAAGCACAGGGGACAGACACCAGACGATGCCTTCTTATAGAGTTCAGTCAGCAGGCAAATGTGAAGAATTCTATTAATACTAGACTCAAATAAAGAATCTCAGTGTAGCCTACAATTTTTTAAAAAATCACAAAAGAAATGTGAGAAATAAGAGATTATGTTTTTGTGAGTGTGGGGGGGTCATTTTTATGAAAGTGTTGGTGCATATTATTGTCAAAACATAAATAAGAGGCAGTCATGCAAGGCTTTCATTTTGTAAATGATTTTTAAACCACTAATTTGAGAAACACCCCCACCCGAATGGAGCACCAAATTAAAACCAAGTGCAGGGGGTACAGATGGAAAGTCAGGCCCTGAGCATATGCTTGGATTGTATGGATGAGTGGTTCGTGTTGATGCGTTCTGCTTATTAATGACTTTCCCTGTCTTTGTAAAATCCAGGAATAGAGCATCCAGTGCCCACATCTCTTTTGCTGCAATTGATCACTCTTCATCTACCCAGCCCCTCACTGCCTACCCTCCCAGCCGAACATCAGGAAGGACTGCGGCACTGTGATGTCGTGCAGCACGCCACACACTCCGTCAGCCCGCTTTCTGGGCCACATCATTGGTTGGAGGAGTAAAAGCTGTAAAACAGCTATGCATAAACCACTTGCAGCCAGAGCTAAAGGCATCATCTCTTGTGACACAAAAAGTGCTGTGGACTAACAGCTTGGCGAGGAGAACATAGACTTACCACTCTGTGTGCAGACTCTGTCATCTTACGCAGGGCCGGTCAGGGAAGGGAGGAGAAATAAATCTTGAACAATCTTACGTTTTCCTCTGTTCTTTGGAAAAGAGAAGGGGGTCCCCTGTGTGCACTGAGTACTATGTTCAGGCTCTTAGTGTGTGTCTAAAGGAAACCACATCCCTGTAACTATAACTCTGATATGGGGTCGATGGAAATGGGAAGAAATGTAATGCTTAGGTCTGACGCTTTAACAGCTTGACTTGCACTAAAATTCATGGTTTTCCAAAACTCATGACTACTTCATGAAAGTAGAAGACACATTTTGATTGATTAAAAGTTTTAATGCTAGGTTATCAAGTTCCTTCAATAATCCACATAGCTCAATGATAGTACTGAAAGTAGGACTAATGGGAGAAGACTTGTCACCTGTAGAGGATGTCTTTGGTTTGACCTGTCCTGTTGTGGCCCTCAGAAATTTAAAGGCATCAGTAGGCAAATGGTAAACAGATCCAGGATGACGGAACCTAATACCTGGAAAATCTGGACGGGTCATTTCTGAGATTGCAGAATGGTCACAGATGTTCATATTAAATGACCACAGTTTGCCAGGCACTAGTCCAAGCTGTGTGAGTATTACCAAGATGATGGTGACATGGCCCTGACCACAAGTAGTTTGCAATGAAGGCACTGGAAAAAAAAGTAAAAAACAAAACAAACAAACAAAAAACAAATGAATATAGTCACAAAGGCTGGATAAAATCTAGTGAACTGAGACAAACATTGAATTAATCAAATATCCTGAAGTGTCATTTGAAAACAATGCAGTTAAAGGATAATTTTAAAGCCCTCTCCCTGTATCCCATATATGCCATTTTATAATTTTCACAAGCTTTGAAAGAAAATAACATAGTTCACCCAGGGGTATTGATGAAGGAAAATACTTAATCAGCGATCCAAAGCATGAATCAGTGTTTTGTAAGAAAACTATCCAAATCTAGTTAAAAGAAAAGCAGATGTTGTGTGACTACTGTTATCCCCATTAGGCAGATTGTCATGGTCAATAGGACTCAGCATACCCTAACTGGCACATAAATGAAAACAAGAAAAAATAAG